CAGCAGGCACTGATGAAGCGTGGCTAGCAATATCGCCAAAGTGCTCTGAACTGGTTGAACAGGTTATGAAACTGGTTAAACTGGATGAGTGCGTCTCTGGAAGTGAGAGGTTATTAGTAGCTTCTGTAACACAGGCTTCAAGGAGAATAATATTAAAGTTATTATTGTCCCTTTCTATTGCGACTGATCATTCTGTGATGGAGGACATTGAACTCAATAATGTACAGCATCTTATACGCTTGCTTTGTCTTGTGCAGGCTAATCATGTTGGCATGGCAACTGAGAGAGGGGAGGAGCTTAAGGAAGTGATTGGATCAGCTATTACTAGTATTGTCAGTAAGAGTAGAGTGGGAGGAGCTGGAACACAATTACTACAAGTAATGATAATAATACCATGAATACCGTATAGATGCATGTACTACTTAATTTTTGAGGAACAAACTTTCATGGTTTAGTATGCAACTCTAAAATTAAAGCCCCACAAAGACGTATTCAATTAATGAGCATTGCAAATTGCTATAAAATTATACTTTTTAACCACAAAAGTTCAGCACTATAGAGTAACAATGGATAAAATTGTCCCCCTTCTCCCACATTCTTTGTTCTCCTCTCTTTCTCTTATCTATTTTTAATTCATTAATTTTTCCCTTCTTACTCTCTCTCTCTCTCTCTCCCCTCAAGGCTTGTTCTCGTGATCTGTTAGCTGCTGCAGTAGGAGGCTCTCAGATATTATCAAAGACTAAAATCACTGATAAAGAGTCAACTGATCTCACTGTATTGACTAACCCTAGCTTCTCTGTTAGCAAGAGTTGAGTACAGGCACTAACACTAGCAGTTGGGAATATACACAACAGGTTAGTACACATTTGTAAATGTACACATGTATGTAGCAAGTGTAATAGTATTGTGTGTATGTACACTTATTTGATATTGTATGTTTATAGTTGGTTTTGTGTTGATTCACAGAAAAGTTTAATTAATAGTTTATTTGTTATCTACCATCATCATTTCAGTACTACTTAATAAAATGTATAAGCTAGGCGGCACATTTAATTGAAAAAAGAGGACAAGTTTTACATGTATAATAATGAGAAAAATCTTGAGGAAATATTATTTCTACAAGTACATGTATCTATTCATTGTGGATAGACTAACTTATTTTCAGCGATCAAGTAATGTCACTGAATAGAAACTTGAAGATCTACTTGAACTACTACAGATTGATTGACCATCATTTGCTTGATTTTCTGAATCAGGTGACCATTGTACTAATAACTTAGCTATTTCCACATGGCCTTTAGCAATAGCGATCTTCAAAGGTGTATATCCTTTCCTGTCTTGTACATTAGGATCAACTCCTGCCATTAGTAATTTTTCTACTAATGCAGTGTTACCCTCTTTACAAGCAAAAATGATAGCATGTTTGACACCAGCTTCTTCCTTTAGCAACAGTTTAGCTAGTTCAGTGTGGCCATTTTCACAAGCCAACATG